ATGTATGATTGTATATGTAATATTATAATATTTAATATATTATAATATATATTAATATGTCTCTTATACTGCAATGAAAAAACACAATACCTGTTGTTGATAATATGGAAGAAAAACCACAATGTACAAACTAGATTTATTGATGAAAGTGAGACAACAGTTTCGGAATGTCCCCGATTCCATCTTCGGGTCTGAAGAGGCAAGGGAGACGAAGCGGTATAAGAGGGAAAGGAGGCGAAGCACTCGGTGATACTACGTGGGTCAGGAGAGGACAGCCTGGAGAACGGAAGCGAAGGGAGGTCAGCATCAGTGTCGGAAGATCAGGCGTGTCATTATCCTGCTCTCTGTCGTCTATGCTGACGGTGTTGACCCTCCGGCATAAGTCGGAGGAGACGAAGGATTTGCGGAATCTCGTGTTGAGGCTGTTCCTCAGGAAGAAACCCCTGCATTCAAGTTTGAAATCTAGGCAGCAGTCTTCAATGAAGAAGAAAGATTTCCACACTCTTCGTGGCATGGGACATCAGCGGTCTACATAGGAAGAGAATCGGGGCAGCTTTTCCATGCGCCATTCTGATGCGGCAGTGTCCCAATCTGATTGGCAGAGGGGCTGCTCTGTTGGTATGTTCCCCTGGATACAGCGTACTTATTGCTAGACAGACCGCTTTGTAAGTCTGGCGCCTCTTTCCCGATAAATACTTGCTTATCACAGGAGGCACACGGCAACAGTATCAGTTGCCCACCCTCTCGACTGGTACGAGGTGAGGGCAGGTCTCGAACCAGACTTCTCCCGACGGAGGTATTCACCTGGCGAAGGGAGAGTCTGCCAGTTGAGAGACTGCAGGGGCGACGGTAGGGACGTAGATCTCATCCCCTAGTGTAAGCGCAGGCTGGACAGGCAGAGTTGAACGGAATCATTGCGCTCGACGGGGAGTCATGCTCTATGCAAGGTTGACTGTCGCGCCTGGATAACGGCATCGCTAGGTGGACAGGCGTCAGGTCTCTCCCAGTTCTTGCCTCGTAAACGAACGATCCCGCAGCGAACTCGATCTCTTCAATCCAGTACTCGGTGGGGCCTCCTAATTCATACTTATGCGAGATCGCACGCTGGCGATAACAGCTGACGGTGCGCATAAACCCCTCTCTCTCACATGTAGTGGAATTGGTAACGAGGAAGAAGTGTATGTCTTCCATACCACTTGCATGGCTTCCTGTGTATAAAGGAAAAGTTAGAAATGATCAGCAGAGCGCATGGTACCAATGAGCGTCCAAGAAAGGAGTTGTTCGCTCAACCTCCCATTCCACCTTGAAGCGGATGGATGGAGAGAGAGAATCTCAGCTTGCACAGAAATCAGGAACACCAGGGCCAGCGTTCATGGGGGCCATGAGAGCGAAGACGTCATCTACACTTAATCTCAGGCCCACATTGGATGGAACGAGGGGAATGGAAGGGCAGGAACGCTCCTCGAATCTCGTAAGAACTCCATGTACAGGGTTCTAGTACCAGAACAGGGGAGAGAGCGATCAGGCCTCATGGCAAAGCACGAACGTCTGTCAGTAGAAACGATCCTCAAAGGAGAAGGTATTTCGACACTCCCCACTACGAGAATCAGCGGAAGCGGAAGACTTTAGTGGAAGAGGAAGACGAACGGAATCCTCGCAGGGATGCTTTTCCTCTCGAAGGAAAGCATGAGGGACGTCACAGCGGGACCTTGGTGTTACCAGTGGAGTCGGCTCGCTCAGCGCGGCATGGACTGCCTGCGGTGACCCACCGCGGAACACGAGTACTATGAAGTCCTGTGAATGGCGAGTGAGCAGTGACGAGAAGGTAGCCCGAGAAGGGTGAGTGGAGAGACTTAGCCCAGCCAAGCGCCAGCAGATGGCTGCGGTCACCGATCCCCGGGTGAGGAGATGATGGGGCGTTAGTAGGCACGGCCGGCTTATGTGGTTTTTAGGTAAGCCTCCATAGTAATAGTTGAGGGAGGCGAGGTGTTAACGACCTTGAACCTCTGTAAAGGTTTTCGCCTCCGGGAAACAGGCTCGCCGCTTGATGACGTCTCGCTTTCCTTCAGAGGAAGCTCCTGCCGAGGATCCTCGTCTTCCTCTTCCCACTGAAGTCTTCCTCCAGCTGATTCGTCTGTGGTGTGGAAGTCGAATTTCCTTCTCCTTGAGGGTCGGTTCTACTCATCAGACGTTTCGGTGTTGCCATGGGCTCTTCCTCTCCCTCTGTTCTGGCTAACCTGTACATGGAGTTCTTCTCGAGTCGGAGCTCCTCCCTTCTACTCTCCTCGCCTTCCTTTTGGGCTTGAGATATGTAGATGATCGTCTTCGCTCTCTGGCCCATGAACCTTGCCCTGTTATCCTTGATTCCCTGCTCGCACTGAAATTCTCTCTCTCATCCATCGCTTAAGATGGAATGAGGTTGGAGACAAGCCCCTTTCTCTGGACATCTCTTGTCCATCGGTCTCTGCTTGATCATTTCTCCTTTTCTATATACAGGAAGCCTATGCATAACAGTGGTATGTACATACACTTTCTTCTAATAGGTATCTTTTCTGTACTCTCTCTACTACATGTGAAGTGTCGATCCCCTGCTGTCTGCTTATTAGTAGCTCAGCACGGCGCCGTAGATCTTGTGCCTCCCCTGCTAAAGTTCACCAATATGGATGGAGGATCGACTTTCCTGCGGTTCGTTCGTTTCTCCACAACTGGGCTATCTCCTCGCCATTGTCCTAGACCGTCGCGTTATCCAGGGCGCGGACTACCTCTCTACCATCGACTCCCCTCCCATGTATGAGCTCCCCTCTTCACTCTGCTGTCCTCCTCAGCGCCCTGCCCTTATCATGCGTGCGCAGGAGATCTACTCCCTCCCGTCGCCCCCCTCAGTCTACTCACACTGCACGACTCTCCTCTCGTCCCAGGTGAATACCCTCCGCTTCGCCGAATCCACTGGTTTCCCAATCCTGCCTCTCCTCTCACTCGAAGTGGGCACCCTATTTGCTGTTCCCGTGTGCCTCCTCTGTGATAATGCAGTATTTTTGTGCTTCTGAACCATCCCACGGCGCCAGTTTACTATAGCGTCTGTCCTCCTCAGCATAAGTACGCCGTTACCTCCCCAGGGGATCTTCCACTCTCCACACATACCGTGTCCTTCTCCTTCCTGCATTCAGTGCTGCCGACCTATCTCCGCGCCATTTCACGATGGACTGGAACAGTCTGCAGCGCATCTACTTCACCTTCTCTGTACACTCTCTCCATTGCCGCGCAGGAATCCGTCGGAATATTCCTTCATTCTCCTCCGATAGACTCCGCGCTCGTCACTCACCTCGACCGCTAATGATAGACTCGGGTTTTCCTCTACCTAGCCGACACATGGCCCTCGTCTTCCACATCCTTTCGTTCCTCCCTTCTTCCCTTATGCCCGGCACCTCGTACACAATAGCTTTACCACTGAGATCTCCCTACTCTCGTACCTTACACATCAATAGAACCTTTCCTTCGCTATCCGACCTTCTTTTCCTGTCCTCTCTCCCTAGCTACCTATCCGCTGAGTCTCCCCTGAGAGTGCTTTCGCCCTCTATACCTCACTACACAATACTCTTCCTACATCTCTCTATTAAGTCCCCTTGCTCTCTTCAGTATCCCGAATTTGCGAACTGAGCCCGATTCCGAAACGGCTTCTGACGCCTGGCCTTAGTCAAGTACAACTAGATCTTGTACCATTGGTGGGGGTTGTTCTATCCCCATCGGCTATATATATATAGTAGTAATGTAGTAGCTAGTATCATATATATTTTTTATCAGGTATATAATATATTATATAATATACGGTTAGACTAGTTATTAGTTTTATTATTATCGTCAATGATTAGCTTATTTATGTATGTAATCTATTTGAGTTTCTATACCATCCAACACCACACACATACAACTCGTACCAGATGAATCACTACTAATCACGCGAGCACACACACACACACACACACACACAACACACACACACAGTACGCACACTCACAATACACTACGTCCGACTATCACACACACACACGCGACCACCACAGACACAACACACACAGCCACCACCACACATACCACACAGAGCGCACACACGACACACAACAGACCACACGAGATTACACACAGCCACATACACACACACAACAGCCACACACACACCACAGCCACACACACACACGCCACATGACACCACACAGCACACCACACAGCCAACTCGCCACAGCACACACATCGCCACCACACACACACACACCAACCACACCACCAACACACACATAGCCACACACCACACACACAGCACACAGGCCACACACACAGGCCAGACACCATCGAGCACAGAGCGAGCACGTCTTAGGAGCGCGAGCAGCGAGCGACAGCGCATACGCTGCGCGCGCTCTCCACACACACTGATCAGATCACCCAGCGA